TATAAATTTGAGCCTGATCGATACATATTTAGTCAAGATATAGAATGTATTACTATTGTAGTCCAACAAAACTACTAATAGTAATAATCGTATATATGTGCTCAGAAGGCCTGGAAAACCAAACCCTTGCAGAGTATTTAATAGCTCATTGCGGTCTATCGTTTGAGTATATAATCGATCCAAAAGCGGTTTGACACCTGGGGACGTTCCCTCGTGAGTGGAGGTTGCGTCATTATATGGAAGTTGGTGAATGAAAAAACAATAAAACGTTGAAACCTTGCTGAAGCAAGATGGAAATCTTTTGAGTTTGGCGACGGGCACCATTTAGTAATCTCTGAAGATAGCATACAACTATTCTTGAAATTTTATTGAAGAAATTTAGGACATTTAACTCAAGAAACAAATAAGATATGAAGAACAAACACGAAAGAAAAACGTTTTTTTCATTCCTACGTCAATACTCCTGAGGCAAATCCGTCAGAAAGACTACATTCTTAGTCATAGAAATCGGGAAAATATTAGAAGTTTTGATATATAAAGCAAGGAAACAGTGTTCGTAGCCGAATTTTTCTATTTCAGGCCAGCGTTGTATCTGTTTCGTTTTTACCTAGTTCTCAAATAGTAGAAATATTTTTCTAGGAGTCGAGTAAGATTCGTTTACTCCGATCAAATGTTTATCCGACTGAATAAAATAGAGAAAATGTAGCTTTTGAATATGTATATTTACAAAAGTGGACGAAAGCAAGCATGCCAGTATTTGAAAACGGCCTACATGAAGTATATGAAGGGATTACAGAATAAGATTTGCTTTTCGAGAACGTGCTATTTTAAATGAAGAGTTTTTACTTTTTGTGATTTTGCCTGTCCAGATTTGAACGATAACTTCATAAACAAAAAAGAGAAACAAACCTCAAATGAATGAAGATATTCTTCATTTTGGGTTAATTCAAAATCATCATTATCTAAAAATTCAGCCGCTTGTTTATCATTATTTATGTTTCGAATAAAAAAAGCAAAAAAAATTGTCAAACTAATGATCTATAAAACACAAGTATACATTGTTTAAATCATCTCATTATGAAACAAAAAGAATTACTTTTAATGGTTGAATCAAAAGAATTGATGAAAAGAAACCACTAATAAGTGATGTTAACCATTTTTGCGTTTTTAAATCACCAAATTCAATACCACGAGCAATAATAAAAAATGTTGAACTTATAGCCAAAAGAAATGATAAACCATAAATAATAAATAAAAACCACCAAGGAAACATACATATCGATTGTTTCTTCTTATTTGACTCAACACTAAACATCAAATAAAAGAATATGTATTCTTATGAATAAAAAGTTAACTAACGGCATTGGTTGTTGTTTTAATTTGTACAATGCTTCACGTAATGGTGAAGCTTGTTGAGAAGATCGTCGAGATGATGTTCGTCGAAATAATTGAATAAGTAACAAAGTTGGAACAAGTGAAAGTAATTCAACAATAATACCAATACTAATCTAATTATATCAAAAGAATTTTTACTTAATTGAAACAAAAAAATTAAAAAAAAACCTGTTGAGGAGTTATATAAAGTGGACCTAATGATAGACTTCCAGTAGTCTTAGTTGTTTTTGCTTCATTTGCTTGATCATAATACAGAATATTAAGAAGCATGGCAGTAAAAAGTAATACAAAACAACAAGTACATCGTTGAACACGTGTAAATCTATTTGATGGTGGTCGAGAAAATATTGAAAACCAAAGATGACCTTCTGATACACTATAATAAACTTGTTTCGATAGCACATATGAAAATTCTTGTTTTTGTAATTCACCAGCAATAGGTAAAATACGTTCAATCTAAATATTTTTGACGTAGAGTAATGTTTATGAAAAAATTAAAAAAAAACTGTGAGCGCGATATCAATATGTGAAAAAAAACGATGTAGTTGCTGTTGCTAATTACAAAAAGATTGTTCGGGGATGTACATTTCTATCTCATATGCTTGAACACTCATTCCATTTAGATCTTGTTTCACAAAAAGTACTTACACGTCCATCTTCTTTTTCTACTGCAAACCATTGTTGACAAATAAAGTAAAATTTTTCCATTGTTTGTAAATCATGAACAATAATATACTTAAGAAACCATGATGCTGATACACCATGACCTGTATTATCATGCCAAATACGAATATAATTTAATGAGCCTAATGATCTAAAATCATTAAATTTCTATAAAATTGATTATCATTATACAAAATAAATTGTTTTACTTTGGAACAGCCATAATAAAAGCATCAATTCCACCACGTTGTAAAATCTTTCGATGAGGATCTACAAAAGTACGAACAGATGTTTCATCATTATCACCAACAAGAATAAATTGAACCTATGACAAAAAAAATAATAAAGCCAAATTTTAAATATAATCTAATTCGTTCGTTTATTTTATTTACTTTTGATTTTGTTCCAGCATTTTTTCTATTACCAGTAAAAACAAGAATTTGATAGAAATATTGATCATTAGAATCATTATCTGATAATGGTGTAACTCCCAACTAAATAAATTTATAAAATCTTAGAAATAATTTTCAAAATATTTTTCTTTTACTTTTTCAATATCTTTTTTATCTTTATAACGTGCATAAATAACTAATAGAAAATAAAGAATATAAATACAAATAATAGTCAAATAAACAGTTTTATTTTTCATAAAATCAGCATTAGCAAAAACATAATTCCAATTGATAGGTGCTGGTAAAACAAGAAATCCACCAGCAAATGTTGTCAAATGAGTTGAAAAACATTGAGTTTGATAGTGATTTGTTTGAGATCCGACCTTTGATTAAACATCATGAATTTTATGATGTATAAAAAGAAATAAAATCGAGAAAAAAAGAAACAATCTTACTAATAATCCATCTGTTTGCCAAATATTATTTGTATCTAAATAATAACAACATGTCGTATAAGTTCTTAATTCATAATTTGAAGTGAAATTAAATGGTTGATTTGTTATTGGTGGACTTTTAATGGATTGATTTATACAATAATTATAAAATTCTGTTGAATTTAATTCTCGTAAACCAAATATTACTGATTGATGACCAGATGTTTGTTGATTATTAAGAAAATACGTATAAAGAGTATCATTTGTTAAATCTAAATTAAATAAAAACAAATATGTATAAGACGCACAGACTAATCGAATAGCCTGACAAATAAAAGGTAGTTATACCAATTAATATATTGAAAACCTCTAAAACCGCACTTTTACTAATATACAGCAGCTATTCATAAAGAACTAATCAGCACAGTAACACAAAAATTCTATGGAAATCTAAATGAAGCCCTTCTCTTAGAATAGACGGATACTCACAAGAAAATATTGCACAAGACGTAATATAAGACCATGAGATTTTCAGTTTTTGTTTGACATCAAGCATAAACTTACGAGTTTTTGAACCTAAAAGCCTAGTTGTGTAGTAAAAACTATCTTTTTTAAACTAAAACTAGTTTTTTTTCTAATTCAGAGTGAAGGAGCTGCAATTCGAGTTCACTAAAATGTGGGCTTGCAGCTCCCTACTTGCTTGATCTCGTTTACATAAATACCAATAAAACTATTCCGTACAGCTGAAATTTTTAATGTTACTATTTTCTTGACGATTTTCAATATTGACCTTTGTTCGCAAATAAACTGTTCAATTTTCTTTGTTATTAACATAATGCTCTTCCTAATTAAGCGACAACTTTTTATTTATTAAGTATCGAGTGTTTGGGACAATGAACAACAAGACATAACTGGACGTGGAGTTTTTTCTGAGAGTAGTTAATAAATAGCTAAAATCTTGACCTTTCACTAATTCATATAGACGAAAGGTGTCAAATATTAGGGTCTGAACTCAACCGAATCGAGACTCGGATTTACAAAAACGTGGACTAGTCCGAATGATTGTGTGAAATTCAAATAAACTTACTTGAAGGACAAAAAATAGTCCATCCATCAGTCTGATTGATTGAACTATTTAATTGTGGAGAATCATCAAATCTATAAATTAATAAATAAGCAAGACTAATATTCAATGGATGCATTTCAAAAATAAGTGCAACAGTTCGATTATTATTCCATTGTGATTGTTGAATATTAATATAATGAAGATTAAATAATTGATAATGAGGAGTTATATTCATTGAAGTAACATTTTGTAAATTCATCAATGGAATAATTATATTTGAATCACGAAGTATAATAAATTCAATTGGATGATCTATATCTGTTTGAAAAGATATTTCCTTTCCATTACGATCAAATATAGTAAGTGAAAGAGATGTTGATAGATTTGTATTTGATTGTAATTTAGTATGATCAGCTAATGCAAGTGGTTGCATTATTGACTATATAAATAAGAAAGAAAAAGAATTTGAAGCAACCATTTAAATGAAAAAAAAAATTAAACAAACTTGAAGTGAAATTGATGTATTATTATTTGTAGTTAAATTAAAATTTGATGGAATACGAATTTGAGCATTTCCAACTTGTTGAATTAGTTTATTTGATAAAGCTTCTACTGTTATTATTTCTGTAAAATACAATATGGATGATGTATTTATTATCGAATTTTGACCAATATTTAAATGAATATTGAGTGATTTAGTAATCAATGATATTGTTTCTGTTACTTGAATATTGATTTGATCTGCTATTTGTTTTTGATAATAACTATTTCGACCTTTTTGAATTGTTTCCCATGAAAAATCATTATTATCAGCAAATAAATCTATTTAAATAAAATATCAAATTAAATCAACAAAACGAAAATATAATTTATACTTGGATTAGACCATTCAGATTCCATATCAGTATCATAATCAATAGGAAAATTATTAGCACGAGACCAATCCAAATCAAGTATAGTTGTTCGTTGTTGTAATGGTCCATTAACACTCTAAAAACAAAATAATAAATAACTTTCTTTTCTTATGAAAAAAGTCTTACACTTAAAACATTATTTGCACATTGACTTATATAATTCGCTGCTATTTGAACATCTTCACTAGCAATTATTGTTGCCATTGAATGTAAAGCCCATGCCAATTGATAACATTTATCTGATGCAAGCATCTATTTTTTTTTATTATAAAGATGAAATAATTAAAAAGAAAATATAAAAAATCTATTACTATAGTTGTACGTGTTAATTGATTGGTAGCTTGAGTGAATTGAGCTAATGAAGATGCTTGTAGTTTAATACTGTCAGCAGTTGTAATTGTAAGATTAGTTATGTATGTAACAAGAGAATCTCGAACATTTGCATAAGTATTTAATTGTTTATTGTACTCAGCAAGAGCAGAAGCGTTTGGTGATACAGAAGACTAAAGTAATGAAACAAAGTTTAACTACAATGTATATTTGATTTTTTACTATAACATCAAGCATCTAATTTAAATCTAAATAATGATTTTATTAGTCAATAGAGTACCAGTAGTTTTCAGGCTTCAGAAGGTACTTTTTTACCGATGCTATTTTAAATAGTACGAAATTTTGCAAAAAAAAATGAAGGATCATCGCATTTTCTACGAGCTTCTTTTAGTCAATTTTTGTGATACGTATGAGTTTTTAAAGGGAGATTGTAGAGAATGTAGCAATCATTTATTTTGTCCTCTTTAAAATGAGATTTTTTAAAAAATAGGTCGAGCATAGTTTTCTGGAACCTAATAACTTCTGCGTCTGGCTATTTTTAGAAATTTTGCTATGACAAGCATTAGATAGAAAACTCTATTGACTATTAAAATCGATATCTGGATTTGAGCAAGGTGCTGAACATCATAGGAAAAGATCAAAACTATACTGTTGTTAAACTTTTTCACATAATCTTACATTCACTAAAAATTAAATTTTTAAACAAAGATAAAATAACTTACTGATTGTTGAGTTTTGCTACCCAATGGTGATATAGCAATAGTTGTAGATGAAATACCATCTAAAACATAAATATGTTTATCAAGTGCAAAGATAATCAATGGCTTCAAGTCTAGGACATTTGCTCTCTTGAACAATCGCTCAGATGGGTTTGAATGACGAGAAAACTCACACAAGAACCCGCAACTCCACAATCATGTGAATAAATATCCTAGTGAACAACTGCCCGAATCTCAATGACTTCACTTACTTGATATAGCTGTTTCTATAGCTTGATTATTCATTGTATTGAATTGTTGTGAAAGTGATGTAACTATTTGACTAACCATATTTTGATTACTACTTGCAAGCATTTGAATAAATGAATCGTTAGTTGAGTTTTGTAAACTACCTAATAGACTTTCCATTTTTTTCCAATCTGGTACAACTATAATAGATGATATGTTAAATTCTGCAACACAATCATATGTGTCACGAATATAAACAATGATATTGAGTACTGATGTATTATCATTTGTAGCAGATAATAAAAGTTGAGTAGTGGATGTATATGAATGAGCAAACATTACTCGATCTGTCGGATTTGTTGTCCATCCTGTCATACGAAGAAAAAACATCAATTATTTAGTTATTTTATCAAAAATTGAAATAAAAAATACCATAGATTGAATAATCTTTAATACCATCATCATCAGTCCAATTGAAACAAGATATAGTAAATAATGTACTGGTTGTACCATTGGTAGGACTAATCGAACAAAAACCATTTTGAGGTGATCGATTAATAATAAAATTTAAAGAACTTGAACTTGATTCTGATGAAAAAGAATAAACAACTTCAAAACGCCAATAGATAATATAAGGATTGTCAATAAATAACTTATTTATAGCCGTGAAATTACTCGTATTCATACCTGAAAAAGAATTCATTGATGATATTAAATAAATAAATCAATTTACCAAAAAACCAAATATCTTGATAGGCATTCATTTGATTGAATAAAATCCATTGTGTAGTATTTGATGATGAATTCATTGAACCTTGATAAATATTCCATGTTATATTTTGAACTGTTTTACAATCATCCATACACATAGAAAAAAGTGCTACTTGAGTTGTCGGATTAAAATACTGATATTCAACATTTGGAATACACATAGTAGATATAGCACAACTAAACAAAAAATTCAATTTGATATTAATACCATAATATAATAGAAGAAAAAGAGAAAGTTACACAATAGCAATCATATGAGGATTATAATCTTGAATATGCACTAGAACAGAACCAGTAGCTTGTAAAGAAGAATTTTGACGATATGTCATAATGACCATGAATTGATATATCTGATTCGAAGCCAATGAACCAGAAAGAATTATCAATGAAGATTTACGTGAGACGTTAGATCCAAGATATTGCCATAATGCTCTACTGTCTTGATACAAAAGCCCAAAACAGAAATTATGCAAAAAATAAAAATAGAAAATTAATACTTGGCTGATTTCCAAAACATGATGGATTGATTGGATCAATTCTTGAATCATCTATTGTCAACATTGATCCATTGGTGCTTGGAAAGTTGTAAACACCATACATTCGACAGTAATAGTCATAATTCCAATTCTACAAAAGGAAAAAAACCTTTTTCTTCTATACATACGTAGTCACTTACACTTGTGTTGAATACAATTGCATCAGGATCAACAGAATATGCTCCAGGATTGAAGGTGAGATTCTGACGATATCCATGTGCAATCATCGAAGTTCCATATTGAACCAAATTAACGATAACATTTGAAGGATTAATTGTAATAAAAGTAGACATGGAAGAAGTTACATTCGACATAGCCATCATGGTTACACTTAGTTTGAGCTCATAAGTTCCATATAGAAGAGTTTTTGCAGGTATGAACAGCTCACTACGTGTTGTGATTATCGATTGGTTCAGTTGCACTTCAGATATACAACTCGACGAACATTCTCTGATTGTCCATTTGATGATAGTCGACAGTGATTGACTACAATTTAGTTTGATATAAGATGTCATATAAATGTTTTGACTTCGCCGATATTCTGTTGGTGATCCTAATATTGACACAGTTGGAGAAAGTGTAATCATAGGAGCAAAGCAACCTAAGTTCCAAAAGAACTCAAAAAAAAAACTTCTCTATATTTTACTAGAACCTACCTCTATTTACGATTGGAATTATGGATGTGATCGTAGATGCATTTATAGACGTGACCGATACTGTCGTTGCAACTGATGATGCAGTAGTATTCACGAGCATCCTACCTGTTGTAGCTAGTAATGGTGCGGTTGTATCAGGCAGGATTGTGCTCGCCCATGATGATGATCTAGTTGTAAACGGTAACATGATTCTAGCAGTTTGTGTCGGTGACGATCTGGAAATATTAGCAAGCATCGATTCAGTTGTGACCGTCGCTAATGGTGCAGTTGCATTAGATGGCAACGTTCCTGCTCCCAATGATGGTGAATTCGTGAACACCAGTATGCTTCTAGTAGTTTGTGCCAGTGACGATGTGGACATTTTGGGCATCATAGTTTCGGTTGTGACTGTCGATGAGGATTCAGTTGCAACGGACAGCACCGTTTCTGTCCCCGACGACCGCATAGTCGTGAATGGCGACATAAATCCAGTGGTTGCTGCTGCCTGTGGTATAGTGATATTAGGTAATGGGCTTTCTGGTGCCAACGATGCGGGAGCAGAATTAGATGGAATGGTTTGTGGTATAGTCGATGACAATGATGTTGTTGTATGAGACGTCATGACTGATGTTTCCACCGAACGTGCAGTTGTATCAGACACCATTGTTTTCGATACCAATTCCGGCACAGTTGTAAACGGCGGCATGCTTTCAGCTGTTCCTGCCGATGACATCAACGTCATATTAGACAGTGTGTTTTGTGCTGTAGCTGCGAATAATGATGTGTTTGCATCAGGCATAAATGTTTCTGTTCCTAATGATTCTGCAGTTGTATTAGCCGTCCTAGTTGGTGACGTTGATGATGGTGCAGTCGTGAACAATGGGAGAGTTACTGCTCCTACTGTCTGCAACGGTATGGTTATATTCGACAACAAAGTTTCTGTTCCAAGTACCTGGGACGGTGTCCTTGTGTACAGCATTGTATTTCCTGTTCCCGACGCTTGTTCAGTAGCATTATACAACATAGGTGATGTTTGTGATGATGGAGCAGTGGTAAACGAAAGCATAGCCTCCACCGTTGGTGCCGTTCCTGTTCTTGTAGATGCTGAAGTAGTATCAGACACAGTTGTTTCTTTTGCGACTGTCGGGAACACTAAAGGAGCATTAGACAGCATTGTTTCTGTTACATGCACTGATGATGGCGCAGTTGTAGGAAGCACTGTAGTTCCCGTTCCTGATGATGATGTACCCGTAAACGACTGTGTTGCGCCTGCAGTTGCTGTCATTGACGATGTACTCATAGTAGAAACAATGGTTTGTTGAGTTGTTATGGTCCGTAGTGTACTTGTTTCCAGCATCAAAGTCTCTGTGACCGATGTTATTGCATTTGCATTAGACACTATAGTTTCGGTTCCTAATGATGATGAATTCATAAATTGCATTATCGTACCCGTCGTTGGTGTAGGTGACAGTGTAGCTATACTAGATAGCCTGCTTTCGGTTATGACTGTGGATGATGGTGTTGTTGCATCAAACATTACAGTTCCTGTGGTCCATGACGGTGAAGCAGTAGCCGACAGCCCGGTTCGTGCTGCTGCTGTCACTGATGTAGGGGATGCATCAAGTAGAATCGTTTCTGTTGTAGGTATTAACAATGATCCAGTTGTATCAGACAGCATGGCTGCTGTTTCTACTGCCAACGATGAGCTACTGATGTTTTGCAGCACGCTTGCGGTTATTGTTGTCGATGATGTTTCAGTTGTATTAGGAACCTGGGTGCCCACTGTCAAGAATGATACATCCGAAACTGGTAGCATGGTACCCGAGACTGGCATCAAGGTGTCAGTGGTCGTATTAGATATTGTGACGCTTATCGTCATTGATGTTGTAGTCATGTTTTGTGTTGTTATTCCTGTTGTTGTGGACACCGTTGTAGTCATATTTGGTACTGTTGAATCTGTTGTTGTTGATACAGTTGTAGTCATGTTTGGTCCTGTTATCCCTGTTATTGTTGCCGCTGATGTTGTAGTCAAATTTGGTGTTGTCACTTCTGTAGTTGTTGTTGTTGATATTGTAGTCATGTTTTGTACTGTTAATCCTGTAGTTGTTATCGTTGATGTTGTTATCATTGATGATGTAGTTATATTTGGTGCTATCAATCCTGTTGTTGTTGTGCTGGCTATCGTGTTTCCTGCTGTAGTCGTATTAGGCATGACGTTGCTGGCTGTGGTTGTTGATAGTTCAGTTACATTTGGCAATATGGTTGTCCCTATGATAATGAATGATGATACTCTTGATATCATTTTTCGATGGAGAATAGCGATAGTTTCTTTTCTCGATGTATGGTATGTAGGAATCGAACAGTTTACAGAGGACGTTTAGGGTATAGTCAATCGGAGTGTGTATGTTGAAGTTATTTTTCTGTTGTCTGTTAATTGGATTTTTTTCTCTCTAGATATGTTAAAGCTTCTATTGACAGGGAGAGTTTGCTTACAATGCTCTATTCTTAGTGTGAGTTTTATGTTTGAAATTTTTTGCAAAATATGCGATTACTCATAGCTTACAAAATAAGTTTACGGAACTTTCGAAATGTCGGAAAAGGTTTGTTTTTGATAGTGCAATTCTTTCACATTTTTTCAGATTATGAGATAGAATAACTCAGCGCATCGGCTAACCCTGGGTTTTTAAATATAAAGTGTACATAGCTATCCAGAATTCAACGAAGCATTGTCGGATGCCGAAATTTCATCAATTTCATGAATAATTAAACATATACCAATGTAAATTATACTTTCACTAAAATCATACATATCTGTCCCAACAAATATCTTAGTGGAAAGATTTGTTGACCTAACTGTCAATCGTTTGATGTGAAAGAAAAAACTTGTTGGATGTACACTGAAGTTTCTTTTTTAGCAAATACTTTTCTATTAATATTTTATGATATATCATGAAATTTCAAGGCTTGTTTATCCTTTCTAAAATGGTTCGATGATGAAATTTCATATGATAAGTTGAGTGAAGATTTTTATACGCTACTTGGGGTACCGGTAGTATACTTGTATTTTCTTGAGTTTTCTGTTGAAAAGTTTTCGCCTGTGAATGTTGCGAAGGATATTGATGATATGGAGTTGATTTTTATGAGAAAGAATCATATTTAGAGATTATCAAAAGGGAATTCGTTCGAATGAATCTTGTAAATTCTAATAATTTTATTGATGAATGTATATTATGTCTCCTATTCGCCTTAAATAATGAGCTTTCCAAATCGTTGTTCAGTTTCTGAATGTTGCTATAATGAGATAGATTGTAGAAAATGGATTTTCATCACCGTATTCTATTTAACTTCCATGTTTGACTATAATATTATGATAACTAAATTAGTGAAGTAATGTATCAAATATCCGCGTGATCTTTGATAAACTAGTCAAAATTCAGGTATTCCCCTTCCGAATGGTTTCCCAAACATTATCTATTCGCTAATCAAAAGACAATATGGAACCCGCATAAACAGCAAGAAAAAGATTGGAGAATAAATGCTGATGATTTTTAATAGAGAGAATCAATTATGCAATATATTGCACCACTGATGAAAGAAAAGAAGAACAATCCATACTGGAAGCAATACACTGCACAAACGACCATGTTTCTAATTTTTCTGAATAACATTTGCGAAACATTTGCTTCGATCACTTATGACTAATTCCTAATGTTATGATTAGATAATATCTTGCAACATAGGTAAATATCAGATCAGACAGATATGATGCTATCAAATCCAACGTCTTAAACTTGACACTCTAGTCAAGCATCAATTCGAATTTATCATTGGAATCAGTTCGAAACACAACGATCTTTGTACTCCTCTGTTTAGTAGATGAATTATTAAATGTTATTTGCAGACAACAGGCTTAATAGAATGGTATTGTGTCTGTCCTGATGGCATCCATTATTCTAAATATTCATTATTACTTCGTATTGGAGGCATGACATACCTTCTTTTCATAAAATTATATGATTTCACAAGATTTTTTTCCTCCAGTTTCCCTCTGATAATCTCGAAATATCATTGTTCCCTTCCAGAATAAAATGCATATCATCAATATTCTTGAAAATATTTACAGTCTGAAATTTTTTCAACTGAAAAATCAAGAAAGCTTAAGTATACCACCACAACACTAAGTAGCCAGTAAAAATCCTTATTAAACTTACCATATGAAATTTCATTATCGAATCATTTTAGAAAGGATAAAAGAAACCTTGAAACTTCATGATATATCATAAATTAATCATTTATCTTAAACATGGATGAAATTTAATTAGGAACTCCATAGTAACTAAATAATGGCAAAAAAAAATACATTCAAAATCAAATTACCTATTGCTTGATGGATAACCAACAGAACAAGCAGCCATAAACATTGTCTATCTTTCGACAGCATACTACTTGATAAATTTTTCGATTATAATATGAAGTTATAGTACGTAAAACAATTCTTCAAATATGATTGATAACTAAAGTTAATCAAAAAGAAAAAGAAGTAATGACAATAATCGTGTTGTTGATGACCTTTCTCTTGCTTGAGTACTATATGTTTGAAACTATCGTGTGTGTGTGTGTGTTTTTTGAATATTAAGAAAACAATTCGGTAAGTGAATAAACATGAACTTTTTATTCATATGAATAATAAAAGAAAACTACATTTCAAGCGAGTATAGGCCGTAGAAAGAAATGTTGATCCTCAAATAAATAAATTGTTTTGCACCTTTAAATCCGCAATAATCCTTAAAAAAAAAGCTCTGTAGAAAACTGTTTCCTAATGTTCCTAACTCATCGAACATTAATTACAATTCAATCTTGATAGTAAAATTATAGTTTAGATTCCATCAAATATCTTGTTTTTTTGCTTATTAAAATTTAAATAACAAACATATCATCCGTATGTATTTTATTCATATTTTATGGAGATCGTTTCAAATATCTCACGTTTTCCGAACAACATATTTACACACATTATATAAGATCGAAGAAAGTTGAATATTTGCTTTTAAAAAACTAATGATGTCAATTGAAATCTTCCGCCGAACGATAGAAAACGTCAATTTCTTTTTTTTTTCTCTTTCATTATTTGTATCGGTTAAGGTGTTTACATAATAGAATATTCAATTTGAAAAATTTACTATCTCATAGAAGATATTGTCTTCAAATGTGTTGATATTTTATAAAAGTTCAAGAAGATCAATTATATCAGCCGTTTTTTTTTTCAATGACAATCTTCATTATTATTATTTTTTTGTTTTTTAACAATGAATAAACTTATTCTAAAACTTTCTATTATTTTAATTTCTTTTTTTTTCATGCATAAAACTTATTTTACAATATGAAATAAATCGATGCATATATTTAAATAAGTTAGAAAATATGAGCAGTTGAATGTATACATAAAGAAAAGGTGAAAACAATATAACAAACAAACAAAAAAAATGAAAAACGGAGGAAAAGGCTTGTTCTTATTCGCAATGTGCGTATAATATACATTTAACCTAACTACACACATATACATATATCTACGAAATACATTTAAATGTATGTCACAACGTTATTATTTACAAATAACAATGCACAAACTTACATACTTACAAAGAAGAAAACAAAAAAAAAAGAAATATGTTCACTAAAGTGACATAGAGTAAAAGATGAAAAGAAAAAGCACGCAGACAAAATACATACTACGAATGTATGTTGTTGTTGTTGTTGTTAGTTTTTTTTTTTACACAAATAAATAAATAGAAAACACACAAAACACATTTATTATATATTGAAAGACAACTGAACAGATTTTATCTTTAATTCTTTCCGTTGATTAATTATAATGAAGAAAATTTTGTGTTGATTGTTGAAATGTTGACATGATTGGATTATATATATTTGAATCAATCATAGATGGTATTTGTTGTTGAGCATGAATAAATGATGATGATGAATTTGTTGATTGATTTTCTGTTTCCCAAAGATGACGTACAGCTTGAATTTTATCAGCTAAACCTTGTTGACTATCAACAGATAAATGATCATATTGATTTTCTTGTTGTTGTTGTTGTTGTTGTTGTTGTTGCATAGGATTTGACATTAGATTGTTGTTATTATTCATTATATTATTTCGTTGTTGTAATGAAAGCATTGATAAAAATCGAAAAACATTCTAAATAGAAAATTTAACGATAGCGTCAAGACTCAAATATCATATTTAGTTAGCGAATGAACTCTAAGTACAAAAATTATAAGTTAACATTTTTGTATTGTTAAGATGTATTCATCAAAAATTTTTCTGATATAAAGTAGAAAATCCTCCGAATTGGACTCGGAGCCGATTGGATCATATTCATGAAGTAACTTGAATATTATAAGATCATCGTTAAGATTATCTATGAAATGCCGTAGCGCGTGTTAGTAGCAGAATTCGGAATGACTATCATACGTACTAGGTAGGTACCTGAAGTGTCCATACACGTTTTGATTTATTCATACAATCATTCGATAGATTGTATTGAGATTAGACAAAATCTCAGAGGGTTTTGACCCATTGGAAATGAGTTATAGCCGTTTTACTATAATTTTTATTAAGATATCTTATTTTCGAAAAGAACCGAAATGAAAAGTTTTAACCTAAAATTTCGTCTATAAAGATATTTAATAGTCGATTAAATAATTCTGAAAGTTTCAACGAAGATGAACATGTCTTCTTTGAAATATTCAATATACAAATGGATTCGATTGTTATATCCTCTTATGAATAATCGTTAGTTTTTTTTAGGATATTGAATATCTCGAGAAAGACATGTAGGTTTTCTTTGGACTTTAAAATATATTTATTAGCAATATAACTCATTGCTAGTAGGCCAGAACCCTTTAGGACTTTCTCTTACCTCAGTATAATCTATCAAATTATGTATGAATGAATCAAAACGGTGATAGAAACTTCGAGTACTTTCCTCGTTATACTCAATGAACTCAATTCCTCAGTGGTGAAAGTTTATTGTTTAATTTTTACCATAGAGTTATGCATAGAGATGCATATCGATTAACATAGGAGGTTATATTTTCTTTTTGTTTTACCTGATCAAGTTGTTGTTGTTGTTGTTGTGGTTGTTGCATAGGAAACATTTGTTGTCTAGTCCAATTTTGTTGTTGTTGTTGATGCATAAGCATAGC